TTTTCTTTTTATTGACTCAGTCTTAAATTCACGTAATCAAAAGATTATAGAGTCTCGCTGAGTATAGTGTAGCATATCGTATATACACAGAGTCTAAAGAAATCGTATGTGCATCATCGGTGCATAGGCAAATATTAAAAGTGCATTTGTTCGAGGCGTCAAAATTAAAAGATCTTTAAACTGCAGCGTAGAGGCTGCTAGTGGGTGGTACTTGTCACACCCACCGACTTACAAGATTGAACCGTAACTTTTTCGTGTCACTGATCCCCCCCGGTGCATCCCACGACACGTGCCCAGACATGCACTTGGGTGCATTCCCAACTGCACGTCATTAAACGGATCTTGACTTCGTTCTGGGAAATATAATTAAAGCATGTGTATTTCTGTGAATCGATTTAAGGATAATGGGCATCGGTTGGCTGACCCCACGTGAAACTGAACTGTGTTCTTGATCGCGAGTGCATCGGGATGCACGAATGTCATTAAGTCATTATGCAGATTGGACTAGTCCCATGCATGCTTATTGGGTTATATTTATTAGGGAAGGTGGCGTTTCTATACGTGAGCTTGCGGAATGAGTTCGTGGGCTTGGCTTCATCCCCGCGATCAATACTTAAAGGCGATAGTCCCACCACCTACGTCCCAATTGTGCCTTCGGCTCTCCCGTCCATTTCCGGAATTCGACGGAAGTCACTGTCCCGGTGCTGACTGTGCCAGTCCGCTATCACGAAGTCTGATCCTTGTGGGCCCTGAGGTATTACCTGCATTTTTTACCATTTGAACTTTGACCTTTGACTTTCCTTCTGTGGATAATGGTAATATTAGCTTTGAAGATCCAGGTGAAAGATTATGTCGTTACAGGGTCCAATCTGCAAGTTCAGTTTTTGTTATCGATATCTCCAACGAAGTGTAATGGCTTGGTTGTGGAAGAATGTAACTCGGGAGAATGATAAAGCAGAAGTGGCACTTACGAAAGAATGCAAGGGGCGATTAATAGAATCGAATAAATTCTTATGGGGCCAGTATATCTATGTAGTTCGATGACGAAGCCGGTACGAGGCTGCGCCAGTGAACTTTGCCCGATTAAAAATCTTTTTTCCGTTCTTACGTCATATCTCGACCTTTCTTTCCCACGTTTAATCAGATTCTCAGTGAGACTTCGTTAATCAGGACTTTCGATAGCGAAGGCACTGCAAGCGGTAAATATTTCACGTTCAGGCCAAGCGAATAGCGACAAACAGCCGGAAAGGAGATACGTAGTGGACGAGATGAAAAATCTTTATACGCGTGTCAAAGGTCGAGTCTGTGCTTTGGAAACTGCTTGAACTTTGGTAAAATCGATTTTAGGCATCTCGGGATTGGATGAGAATAGCACCGACACCTGGAAGGATCGAACCTTTGCGTCGGTGGAGATAGAGATGGTCCAGGGACAGACTCACCGGAGGGATGGGGGGATAGGGACAGGAGGATAAGGTCGAGGAGGGCGCTGAAGTTGAGCTCTGTGAGGTCGACTGTTCCCAGTTGGTAACTTTGGGGTCGCGGGAGGAGCCACTGCTGTATGGATACATCCGAGGTCACGTGCTCCGGACAGCGAATCGTTAAAGGGACGAGGTCGACTAAGGGCGTTGATACGAGCAGCTGTTCGCCTCCTGCGTTTACGTCTATGAATGACCTAAACGTCTAACCTGACCACTCGGCTGCTCCACGGGAGGAAGCTTCTTCGTGGCTGGCTACCTTAGCTGGAAATGAGAATACCCCCTGATAACATTGGTCGGCTCATACGAATATCCCATGATGTTGCTTGTACCAACCTGGATAATAAGACAGACTGCGGTTCACTTAGCAGCTACGCGTGGAGACTCTAGGATTATCGTAGCTCGCAGCTGCACCACGTTTCCTCGCTAACGAGTCTGCCGAAGCTAAGGTGGAAATACTTGGGGCACACCAGCCTGTTCTGGACTACGTGGGAATTGATACAGTTAACAGTGGCCAGGTCGCTGTCTTTGTATTCCTGTCCTTGTTACCATCATCGACACCCGCATCATTGGTCGGTGCTCCAGATATTTAATCAGGAGTCTGGCTCCCGTGACCAGGTTGGGAAAAAGGTCTCCTAAGAGTCCTAGGTTGAAATTCCTGATTGCCTTGACATTGCAACCTCACTGGGAGACAGATGGAAATATTGCGATTGTTTCTGGCACTGTAGTCGTCATGAGTCTTGATAGTGGGATTTTTATTATAGCAAATACCATCGCGACGATCCTAGCCTTTGGCATAGGCATTTAAAGCTAAGATTGGCACTTTAGTCGTAGCTACTGTGACTTGAGAAGTAATTGATTCTGACTCGATCGACCGATTCCTTCGCGATACTCGTAGATGGTCCTATTGGTCTTTTACAATGTGTTTCTTCAATCTTCAGTTTTGGGTTATCAATTCGAATCTTGAGACTACTCGATCCTCTTATCCAGGACGATCACTGTATCTTGGGAATGTAAACCACTCCTCTTCGACGAAGCTGATCTCAGCGATTTAACGTGGAAGATCAATATTTACATTTCTTCCATGCTGGCCGCGTAGATCATCGTTCGGCCCGTGAAACTGAGCCGCGGGAGGTTTTATGTCGGAAACCGTGAATTTCGCAAACTCCTAATATTAGCCTCTTCGCTATATCATTTGGCCACAGCTTTGGAATTTACTCGGAGATATTTCGATCCGGCGTGAATTTCAACGCTCGACGAATTTCATTGAAATTTTCTTTTCCTAGCAATCCTTATGCATTTATTTATCAGTCGTCTGCGCGGTGCATCTTGGTGGTTGCTGCTTCCGGAGGAACAGGAAAACCAGTGTAAATTACTCTGGTACTGTCACGTGTCCACTCGGCTTTAATTCGTTCGCGTTAGAGACCTTCCTGCTAATTTGACAATTTAACGCGAGAATTACGTTATTTAACGAGGCTTCTTTATGGAATCAATTTGACGCCTCGGATTGCCGCGGGCTGAGCGGGGTCAAATACTCGTTTTAATTTGGAATTTTTTTATCTTAACTTCACTTAATTCTGTCTCAGAATATTGCCAACTGCTCATTTTTAACTCTTGCCAATTATTCATGCACTCGTGTATCTGTTTTGCGGAGATGCGTATACCTATATCTATAACGAGAAGACATTTGGCCGATCAATCTCGACGTGATCGATCGTCGTATCAGTTGGCGATCGGTCATGCAGCCCGCCATGATTCTTGACCTTAGATTTCGATAATCTCCAATGAAAGTCACTTCATTTAATGAGCAGAAATTGACGTGCCGATCGTCAGTCATTGAATTTGAATAAATCCTAATTGAGTATCATTCGATAGATACAGATATACATTTTTAAGTTATCCTAACATTTTAATTGACCCGTTCGATGAATTTTACAAAAATATTATTTTCAATTTAATTTTCTTTAACGATTCGCTTTATTTACACGGTAAAAGAAAAAGTAATTACACATATGTGATAACCTCGAATATAACAGTGTCTCCGATACATAAATAGTATCAATTAGTCATATACGTGAGATAAGCTTTATATCAATCCTCAAAACACATGTACAATTCTTATCTTGCTTATCTTGTTACAAAGAACTTGGAGCCGAAATAACTTTTTTTTTAATTGAACAAGACATTTTTCAAAGTCCCCCTGCCCTCCTCCTCTTATGTATCTCCACTTTGTTTTCTTGACTCATACACCTACGTAGCCGAACGATCGCTCGAGAAGTACACGATAAAGAATTCTCTTCCAAGAGGAAGAAGACCCGAGTTCCTTTACCGTCTAGTAAATGATCGTGACGTAATTTGACTCTGGCGAGACGGCAGCGATTGCATTATATGTGTACATAGACGCAAAGTGCAGCCAACGGAAACTGGATATCTCCAGGGCTACGTAGAAATGTATGTAGGAGCTCCGTTTGCGTTCTGGGAACTTCACCAGGAGCTCCACATAATAGGAGTGACAGGATGCAGGTACACTGCGTAGCCTCAGCCTCAGCCACACGGTGTCTCGCATCGTGGCTCAAAATGGAATTTGTGCGGATCGTGGAATTTTCTTAAAAAAAAAAAAAAAAAATTGTTGTTTACGATATCGGCAACCGTTCCCGGTGCACTGGAAGTACGTAGACTTTCTTCCGGAGATTCCCAGAGGAAGATTATGGTTTCACTTTGAAAGTTCTTGGATTACTTTTTTTTTTTTACGGAGAGACTATAGGGAGAAAGGTAGAGGCTGCAAAGTTTTTTTTTTGAAATGAAATTTTCATGGGCAATCATACATTTCCTGATAGAATTGCATCTGACGCGGATGGTTCTTAATTAGCATCTTATTGCCTACAAATTATTGCACCTTTGTTGCTAGTATATTGAACCTTGTCGACGTTTACTGCAGACGAGATAATTGTACGCATCAAGGACACTTTACGTACTCATTAGCACCGTGCTTACGCTCCTGCATAATTGCATTCAATTAATCCACCCAACGCACGTCCCTGTCGCCGCTGGGAGTTGCTGTTCTCGGTCATTCAGAAAACCATTGGATACGATAACAGTGATATTAGATTATTACTGATACTCACTGATGCTAGAGTTTTATTTGATTTATAGCGAGCAGAATGATATCGAATCTGGAAATGTAAAATATGTTCGATCTCCATGCGCCAGCTGGATTGGGGTCATGAAGAATCGGGAAAATTTTTTTGATTTAGTTTTAAATTCCTTGAAATTTCGTCACTGTGAAACCGTCTTATGGTTCGTCGCTCTGTTGTTTTATCGCACGTGTTCACCGTTTGCTGGTATCATAAATGTATCTCAAGTGTCGCTAATGGTAATCAGCCTCCACGTGCTACCAACGTATAGCGTCATTAATGAAAATCATCTTAGAACATTAATTGGCTGTGCAAGCCATAATATTTAGTCTAGCGTATATTTGTAGTATTTTAAAATTTCATTTCATTCGAATTTTCTTTCCTCTCGCAGATCTGATACACTGTACGAACGAGCCAAACGTCTCGATACCACAGCTGGCGAACCTCCTGATAGAACGATCGCAAAACACAAATTGGACCGTGGTCTTCAAGGCTCTTATCACTGTACATCATATGATGTGCTATGGGAACGAGGTGAGAGGAATATTTAAAAAATTAAGTAATCAATCGTGTAATGGGTAATTGACGTTCAGTTTTTCACTATAAAATTCCTTTGTTTGTTCTTGCAGAGGTTTACACAGTACCTGGCTTCGAGCAACAGCACGTTTCAACTGAGCAATTTTTTGGACAAGAGCGGCGTCCAAGGTACAGGATTATGGGAATCGAAGAAACATATTCCATGGCTCCGTTCCTTATAAGACTTTGACGTTCCTTCGATCGTTCCCAGTGACTCAACTTTCTGAGTCTACTGTTAGAATGTATTTTATCACCTTTTTTTCTTCTTTTCCTTTTCAAATGCACCACCTACGTGACTGCGCTCTGCACGCCGGTGGTTCTTTTGCGTTGCACGAACTCCCAGATACATCCTGAACTCTGTATATACGAATAAGTAAGAACGGCACGTTGCTGGCGTCTCGTATCTCTAAGTCCGAGATTAACAATACAAAAGGAACGCGCAATGAAAACTGCAGGCTACTCATTGAATTCCTGTAGCAGTCGAATACATTCTAGAAAGATCCATTAGATCATAGACAAACGATCGCTACAGTTCGCATTCTTTTCACATTTTCAATGTTAAACCAAATTATTTCATAAGTCTGGTGTATGGATTAATTATTCGATTCTTATTATTGAAAAAAGAAAACAGAACTGTCCAATCAACCAAATAGTCGCTTCGTGTCCAAGTACACTTGTGTTACTTTGCTAGAATTCAACGAGACGTTTCTTATCTCGAAATTCTACATTTCTTGTCGCTAACGCATCAGCTGGATCGACTCCACTGGGCGGATGATCAATTATTGATTGATTGAATGTGATTAATATTCGTTACCGACTGCATCCATGATATTAATACTGTTCGCTTTCAAATGTGCATCATAATTCTGATCTCTCTACGGAACGTTACCGTGAACGTTCACTGCACTCTAATATTATGTTTGTATTACATGGCCAGAGATTTTGATCGCTGTTTAAGATGCAACGCGACTACACCTTTCATTAGATTAATGTTACCAAACTATAGTGCCTGTTAATTCATGCTGCACCTTCCTTTAGAATGTTACACTGTTTCACGAGTGCCTTTACTGCTTACCTATGTACCTTATACGTGTCGATACTTTCTATTTCCTTTTATTTTGAATTAATCAATCCCCTTATACCTAGCTGCACGCATTAATTACTACGTGGTATATAGATATACCTGCCAATTCCTCTGCTTACTCTGCACTATTTGGAATCTGTCGAAGATATGAATTTATCTTTTTCATGTTACCATGACATCTGTCTCTGATTTACTAACTTGGATTAATTTTCTCTCTGTTTGGGAACAGCTGGAGCACGCGTGGGTGAGTGCCACAATATCTATTTATTCCATCCCGGTCAGTCATTAGATAACTGTTTGGTAGTGTAACTAACGTGGGATAGCCATATATTAAATTGGCTGCTGATTACACCGTGGGAACTGACAAACTGATGCTTTCCTATTTCAATAAGATAATTAGACTGTTAATAGTCTTTGATTAGACTTACCAAAGGCTACTAATATTTAGTATTTTAGTTGCATTCTAAAAGTTTGTTTCTGAACGTTAGATCTTAACGTAGTTCAAAGTGTGTTGACTGATTAATATTACGTTTGTGTGCATGACTTTTTCTGTATATGTGTGTTATTATCACGAGTTTAATCTTTTTTTTTTCCTATTCAGGGTATGATATGTCACCGTTCATCAGGCGATACGCCAAATACCTCAACGAGAAAGCTCTGTCGTATAGGACTGTAGCTTTTGATTTCTGCAAAGTCAAACGAGGGTACGTTACCATTTCAATTACTGTCATTTGATATACAGTCTGGCTGGCTGGTGCATGACTGTGTTTCAGAGAATTAATAGAGAAAAGTCTATAGTAACGCAATCGAACTGTCAGACTTGGTTAACTAATGACTTCGATACACTGAGATGGGAATTATTGTGCTTTCAGGAAGGAGGACGGAACTTTGCGCACAATGAATGCTGAAAAATTGCTGAAAACTTTGCCAGTACTGCAAGCCCAGCTGGATGCGCTTTTGGAATTTGATTGCACGGCGAACGATCTGACGAATGGCGTTATCAATATGGCCTTTATGCTTCTGTTTAGAGATCTTATTCGCCTGTTCGCCTGCTACAACGACGGAGTCATTAATCTTTTAGGTAAAAGCTGGCATATTTTGAATGACAGAATCGATCGGGCATTTTAATAAGAAATTTAATATTCCATGTGTTTATACTGTTCACAGAAAAGTATTTCGATATGAATAAAAAGCAATGCCGGGACGCTTTGGATTTGTACAAAAAGTTCCTTATACGAATGGATCGAGTTGGAGAATTTTTGAAGGTTGCTGAGGTAATTATACACTGCGGTAATGTAATCTTTTGAATATAAAATTCAAATTTTATCTATTATTCTTTTTCCTCTTCAGAATGTCGGAATAGACAAGGGAGACATACCGGATCTTACGAAGGTTCGTATCCATCGAGCTTTATTGATTTCATATTACGTAACTGAATCCTCCGGCACGCAAACGATGCGATTACAAGCTTTATCTTTTCTATTTATACGCGAACAACGTGCCTTTGGACTAATATTCATTTTGTCCTTTATTCTTGGATATATCCGAAAAAGGTAACATACTCTACGAATTGCGATTAGATCATCTAGCAATGATAGAAGACACTAGAGCACCTTTTATAGAATAAGCATTTTACTTGATTCTTTCCCCATGATAGATTAATATTCTTATATACTTTCATTTCACACTCTGACCCAACCTAACCTTGCCTATGCAATTTTAGGCTCCAAGCAGTTTACTCGATGCATTGGAACAGCATCTCGCTTCGTTAGAGGGAAAGAAAGGATCAGCCGCGAACACACCAACGCAATCCGCAAGGTATGTTAAATTTTACAGTCCTTAATAAAATTCTATTTGAAGAAGGAAAAAAAAAAATAAAAATAAAAGCAGATGAGAAGATCAAGAAATAATTGTCCTACCTCGCACAGATTGTCCTGATATTTAATCCAAAATTAATTATCTCTTCTCGTCTGCCTACTTCATCATATTGATATATCATATTATAGGCATATAATGATCATGTCGCATACATCTCAATGCAGCACCATTTCTTTACTACTTATCAGTGCGCACAGGATCACGCTTATTATTTATAAAATTCTACAAACTCAAAACGCATCTCGCCTATACTCTCTCCGTGTCATGATCACATACACTGCCATGATAATCTCATACGACAATCAAATTTGCTATTTATATTTTTTATATACTGCCCGTTTATTTCGTATCTCACGTGTCCTCAGTAATGCCCACATAAGCACAAATATGGTATTCACGCACTTTTAGACAATTATTTTGATTAAAGTACATATCGATCTTTTGTACATAAACGAGAAAACCATTAACATTTGTTATTGCATAGTCCAGTTTAACGTCGTAGCAAAAATAGAATGATACGTACGTACTGCGTGTCTGTTTGATTTGTCGCTTTGACCTGCAGTGTATCTCGAACGAAAATGAACTTTCTTGAGAAAACGCCGCCTCTTTTTTTCTTCCACCACCTATCTAATCCACACGAATTAACGACACTGATTCTCGAGAAGGTTCATGTTCGGTAGTATAGTAACAGTACAAGAACTATCGGTCGCTCCATACACCTATTGATACACGAAGAGATCATAAGCAGCTATCTGTTAGCACATGGCTAAGAGCACGTGACAAATAGAGTGAACTGATGAACACGCCTATAACGTGTCATTGCACATGCCTTTATTCGTAACTACGCAGTGCATAGTGTATCGACAACAACAGCAAGAAAATACGCACCAATCTATGCAGCATGCAATAAAATTAAGACACCGATTAGATTGTATTGTCTAGTATAGAACAAAACAAAAACAGACGTATCGAGTAAATTAACACGTAATGTCGAGTATTGATTAAAAAAAAAAAAAAAAGAAAAAACGCACCGAAATTGAGACTAGCATAAATGCATGTGTAATACGTGATTGGTATTCAGTTTATACATATTTAAAATAGATATACATACACATACGTTAAGCGATACGTGAGCGCACACGGTACGTTTAATTTCTACGCATTGTTGCATCTGTACGTACTACACTATTTGTTTGTCTTTTTTTTGTTTCTTCCTTTATTTTCAATTATCAACTTTCCTGCTCACTATTCCCTCGTCACACTTGTCTACATCGACGCCAACCATCGTCCCCGTCCGTCCTTCTCGACTCTTCCCGCATCCGTCTCTTCCAATGGCGCACAAAACCCTGAACCCCATCATTGCCCAAGCAGCAATAGAACGAATGTAAAGTCGGGAGTGTCCGCCCTGTCTTCCACCAGTACGGCGTTTGGAACGGCGGCGAGCAACGCGCGTCTAGACCACGCGGGAAATGGACACATCGACGAGGCTCTACGGCAGCAGGCCCTTGCCGAGGAGGAAGCCGCCATGAATCAGTACAAGGTAGCGGTCGATCGATACGTTTCTATCTTGTTGGATCGTGCGAATTTAAATAATTAATTATATTTTTTCTTCCTGGTTCCGCACAGGCTAAGGTTCAGTCACCGTCCGGCGGACCCAGCACGAATCCATTCCTGAGCTCTCCGACCAACAATGCCAATCAGCCAATCGTGGATCTGTTCAGTGCAGCACCTGCTAACGATACACAGGTAGGTCGATGGGTTGTATTTTTTAAATAGAGAATATTTTTTAATGACGCAATGATCCAACAGCCTCAGAAGGCTTCGGACGATCTGCTGCAATTGGCCGGAAATCCGTTTGCTGATATGTTCGGCGCACCTCAGCCTGCGCCGACTCAACCTGCACCCGTTCAGAACAACATGTGGATGACCAACGGTAATGGTAATTGAGAGATTTCTTTTAATTTGTCGTTAAATTTTGATTTTTTTCTGCTTTACGTTGCTGCGTGCAAATTTTTGTTTCTTTTGCTTTTCTGTTTTGTAGGTTTCGCCGCTGCGCCACCGGCAACTAATAACTTTGTTACAGATAACAACTTCTCGTCTGTATTCGGAAGTCAGGAGCAACAGTCGAGTAAGTGTTTACGAGGCTTATTTGGGTAACGGTCGGGTTTATTGGTTTCTTAGGAATTTACACTGAAGCACCACTTCATTGCTCGTCGATACAGTTACACTCTGATTTTTTAAATATTACGTCACGGCAGAAAAATTCGCGATCTTCTTGTACCCTTACTTATGCACTACACGTACCACGTACGAAATTCACTGCCTCTGCAATCGAAGTCCTCTGATGTTTGTGAAATGAATTTAAAAAAGAATGTCTCTACTCTGAACGTTCCCGGCCTAAAAAAGTCCTGTAGAGAAACTTTTTGAACGAAAGGGAGAAGCAAGAGCTAACGTTGCACCTTGGTAACTTTTTGCGCAAGCAGCCGCCGCCCCAGGAACGGCTGGATCCGTGCCGAATCCCTTCATGTCCGATTTCCCAGCTCCTGGTACCGGCCAGCCCGTGAACGCAGCGGTCCTTGACCTTTTCGATCAGGGTGGAGCTACCACCGTGGGTGGCGAAGCTCATTCCCAGAGCGGAGACCTGTTCAGTGCCGGCGGTCAGGCAGATCTCTTTGGGGACGACTGTGCAATGCTCAAGGCCTCTGAGGGGAGCGACGGAGACGGTGCTCCTGGCGTTCAGCCTGGAGCGACGCCTTCCTCGACTCTCGCCTCTGGCAAGTTCACTGCCACGCCGCCTCCCAGACCACCGCCTCCCGCGACAGCCACCAACGGCACACCACGTGCAATGTCTCCTGCCGTCGGCGGAGCTTCACCTGGTAGGCCAGCAATGGCCACTTCCGCCGCGCCAAGTAAAAGCGCCTTCGATGATCTCAATGATAGTATTCGCATGGCACTCGGTGGGTCTCCCTCGCGTCCAGCACCTCCTCCTCAGCAGCCTCCGCCGGCTCAGCAACCCATGCAGCAGCAGGGTTTTGCTATGTTCGATATGGGTACTGGCATGGGGGGTGCTGGACAGCCCATGATACCCGGAGGGCCAATGGCTGGCTACGCTCTTCCTTCCCAGACCCAAATTCCTGTGGGATACGGCTCCCCGGCTAAGCAGCCTGTGTCAGGTGACAACAAATGGTCCACTGTCGCGCTTTTTGCATGCTCTCACCACTTTTCATCAATTTCTCTCTTTCTACCTCTCACTCTTACTGTATCTCCAATTTTATTTTTACCTCATCATTTTTTTACTTTTCACTCCTTCTGTGTATTATACTCCGAGCCCAATTCACTTATTTATTATTAATCAGAATCGAGCGGCAGACCAGGCTCGCCAAGTTCTCTATACTTTCCGCAAGCTGTAATTATGGCTGTATGTTGCTATCGAATAAGAAATATTTCAATCCTTCATCGTAGCTGCGTCTTCGTTGCTAGGACTTGTATATAAATATCATTTTACTGTTTTTCTCACGGTACAAGGAAGACTACGCATGGCTTGGTATACCGTATTCTTTATAACTCGAGTCTCACACGTGGCTTATCGTCTTCTCACGTAATACGCTTTCTATAACATATCATTGATTGCGCAAGGAAGATAATTGTACGTGACGTCATTTGTGTATCTCGCGTTCATTACTTTCGGTAATTTTATTTAATTTTGCTTAAATTATTCGGCTATTACGTTCAGTCCTCCATGGCACGCGTACCAACCAACTTTCGTGATGTCAGGACTTTCTGATCCACGAAAGCGGCTCTACACGCGTCATCGAAGACCTCAGATTCTTGCGGGTCCTTTTGGTACTTGGGGGTTTGCTTCTTGGGGCTTTGGCTGACGTAGCTGTTGCTTAGGTTTTGACGGTTTGGGCTCGGTGCTGATGCCTTCCACCACTGTGTCTGGAGCTAATAACGTTTCAGCAGCGGGTCAACCTGTGAACACGTCGACTTCCGGCAAGGTACTAACGGGCGACCTGGACAGCAGTCTCGCCAGCCTCGCGCAGAATCTCACTATCAATAAAAGTGCTCAGCAGCAGGTCAAGTAAGTTCAATCAAGAAATTCTCATGTTTGCGTCGCAATGCATTGACACTTTACGTTGTACCTATATTATGAATTGTTTTTTTAGGGGAATGCAATGGAATTCTCCTAAGAATGCTGCGAAAACGGGCGGACCAGCAGGATGGACGCCACAGCCAATGGCCGCTACCACCGGCGCTGGCTATCGTCCCATGGTAAGGGACACTGGCTTCATTCTGTCCACTGTCACCTAATTCGTAACACACTCGTTCACCAGCACGTTTCATTCGTTTGTTTATACGTTGTTGGCGAATGGCTTCCAAGACGAGTATTGCCAAACGCTTTGGCACGTGTTACGGACTGCCAAACTAGACGATAACAGTACTCATTCGTATTATCAGGATCAGTTACAGGATAACAGTTAACAAATTTTCAATCAAGGTCTTCTTCCCTTTGTTGACGTATTCTTTCTAGTGTCTTTTAATGTTTAGACTAGTTCCATGAGGTCTGTGTCTTCTTTAACGAAGTTTGCATCCTTCCACTAGAATACCCTTTTACTCGTATACGCCTAGTGTAACTCTCTTAAAATATCTTGCTGTAGCATCAAGTAGATGGTAAGTATATCATGTGTGCATCTCACGTGATAGAACGTAATCGTACCTTTTGTTTTACCTATTGATATAGTATACGAGTTTTTTGGTCTCTCACTAAATTATCATTTTGCTTTGAGGCTGTAAAGAAATTCAAGTCGGAGTGACGTACTTAGAATTCTGAAAATAGCAACCGCGTGGAAATTAGCAATTATTTTTTTTTACCAATTTGGCATATTTAGTTGAGTGATGCATGCGTGGCATATGGCATGTTGCCGGCTGTTGCAGGGCCAAGGAATGACGCAACTTCCTCCATCCACCACTTTGGGCTTCCCCTCTCAGCCTGCACAGTTGGTGAGTCCATTCACACACGTGGTGAATTTCTAAGGGACGCGAAACCATTTCCCTGATCTGTCCTGTCTTGAATCAGTGACTAAATCACGGCTGATGTCGATAATACCTCGGATTTCACAATGTACAATAAAACTTTGCGCGTCGAGTAATCGTACTTGGAGAAATAGTAAGAATACATTGTTTCGCGCTTTTATTATTATATCTTTTTTGATCCGTCGGATCCCACGTCCGATTCTTCAAATAGAAACGTACGTGCACTCCGCATACGAATTTTTCATTATTTTATTCGTATCGTTCATTTCTCTAGCTTCCGCATTTACTTTCTATACCGCAGCGCTCACCGGTTTATGTAATCTCTAGTACGCACATATTGCTACATTTATAAGCTCCTTTACGCTCTCTGTATATATATATATAGAATTTATGATATTCATAAAATTCATAGACACGATAGCGTCTTGTCATTTTCTGGTATTTGTACATGTTTTATTAGCGTTGCGATTTTACTATATTATCTTCATCAGTATTATTAATACTACTATTGCTACTACTACCGCTACTACTACTCTGCATTAACTTGACGGATCGACCGGTATTAAAAAGGTACGTGTCTGTAGTCCCCGGTGAAACGGGAAGACACTTGTAAAAGATTTTTCTAGAAAGTCATCATACACAAGTAATAGTCTTATAGCACGCCTATGCAAAGCTTGTTATACAGTAACCATGGAAACAATATCTATCGCCAGTTATGAATACGTTGACAATCGATAGAAACTAAAAATGTGGAATTGTAAAAAAAGAAGAATTGAATGAAAGACAGTAGTTGCTGCTGTAGATTTTCCTTAATGCAGAGTCTGGCCTATTGGCCGCTGTACGAATTAACATGTAAAATATTAGTTGAGCTTATTGACAGGCACGCTGGGACCACTTTTGTACATACATCTGATAGTTTCCTGCTCTGGTGTCTGTAGGGTATGCAAGGTATGCCAATGGGCATGCAGGGCATGCAGGGCATGAGGCCGATGATGGGTGCAATGCCTGGTGCTCCTACCGCAGGTGCAGGAGGCATGATGGTTGCAGGAGGAGCTGCGCCCATTATTATGTCCAGTGCGAATCCCATGATGGGTGCTCCTTTGCAGCAGCAGCATCCTCAACCGACTGCACAGCCGCAGAGCAATGCCGTACAGCTCGACCCATTTGGTGCTCTGTGAAGGGACTAGGTATCTATCATTGCTGACGCGCAATTGCACATGGCTCGGCGACGATCATCCAGATTGACTGTACAGATATTAATTACATAAGTTTGTCTTAAGCGTCAGGTAGACTTTTTCTCGCTAATTAGATTCGCATTGGCGAAATGTCAAGTTGATGCGGTGGTCGGAATTAAAATAATAATTAATACATGGGAGAGCAATCTGTATGTAATCTAACGACACACGCATTTATCAAGCAACAGCAATAACGTAACACTCGTTCTCAAAGACATTTTGCAATGCGCTTCGTCCCTCTTGGGTATAAACGAGCGATGCCTGTAAATGGAAAATTTTATGTTCCAGGAGTTCAATTGGAATTAATCGAAGACAGCAGAGGAGCGCCAACCTTGTAAATACTGTGTAATATGCCTGAAGAAGTTTAATCCCGCTTACCTTAATCGACCCCGTGTCATTCGTGCCCTTAAAAGCAGCCTTAAATCCTATCCCAAGGCCCACGAGACTCCCTGACCTCATCAACGAAATCCCCCTTGACCCCAGCCATCGTCCCATTGTGAATACGGCCCAATGTCTTTACCATTCTTCTCACGTTTCCCGGATGCGGTACATTCGTTATATTCACTTACCGGCGATCGTCCTAGAGTTTTTGCGTAGTTGTGTATAAAATCAAATTGTATAAGGTGGCCCGTAGTGCTTACGCAGGATTTCTATGAAGACTTCGCAGCGTTCTGGTCGTACGAGAGAAGCCAAGGAACGCTCGAACGAAGATGCTGCTGTCGTTTCGCATCGTTGGAGACCTGCCGAAATACGAAAATTACGCAATTTTGAGAATCGAAGGATCTACGACGTCCGAGGGGATGCAGGAGCCCTCGCTGGTCCATATTGCCCTGAAAGCGTGACGGAGGCTTTTCGAAGCGAGAGAGAAGATTTTGCGAACGAATATTTCGAAGGATCAAGAGGAACGAGACGCGAATACCTTTTGCCACTAGGAATCTATAATCGAGCGATCATGACGTTCACGGCGCGCATCACGTGGTCCAGCATGTTGTCGGTATTGTTGTATATTATTTTTAAATTCATTGCGATAAGTTCGTCTTGGCGTTTGGGCAAATAGCTGAGTTTATCGAAATACCCTTTGTTAAAAGTATTAAACATTAAGGAGACACGCGCCCGTATACATATATATTATAATGATACACGCATACACGTTCACCGAGAGAGACAGGGACGCGAGATTTGTATAAATATAATTATATGGATACGCATGTTGACGTGCGTATTTATATATCTATATATATATGTGTGTATAGAGAGAGAGAGAGAGAGAGCATATATATATATATGCTTGCAAGGGGCAACGCAATTATTACACGAGACATCTAGAGCGAAGAAATTAATAGGCGATTCGAATTAATGTTCTTTCACTGTACTGTTCCGATATATCTTAATTAGATAGTTAATTATTCATGATGTAAACAAATTAAGAATTATGATACTCATACTACTATAAATGTAATGCTAATATACGATTCAGTACGATAACTATTGAGATAGCTCTATTACGATACTGTTGCAAGGTCTAATTGCGAATTGCGAATAGTACGCAGCCACGGCGAGGAATTTGCCACTTTTTTTTTTGTACTATTTCTTTGGATCGAACGAATCGCTCTTTAATACAGTGCCAATGTGGGAATCAAGTTTGTCAGTCAGTCTTTTAGATTGTTCGTTGGGGGCACGCTGTAAAATTTTCTTAATTCATTAAGTCTGTCCATTAGGTTATCTGTTTTCAATTGCGCGAATCATTGGATGATGCCTGATATGAGAAATTGATCGATGCCTGATGATGGCTGCGTGCTAGGAGCAACGAACGAGTGTTTATGAGATGTTGCCGTACATGTACAGGAGTGGTAGAGGGTAGAATGATAAGGAGAATCGAAAGAGCGTGCAATGCTAGTCTGTTTAACTCTATATAAAAATGTTATTAGAGTGCAATTCAGGCGAGCAGTAGACCAAGTTTTTCCTACGGATGATTCGTACGATTTGCGTAACAACAATTAATTATAGATTTGCGAATATGAAATAGATGGAATTATGCGAGGAGAGTGAAGTTTAGCGAGGGTGTCGAAAAATCGAAGACTCCCGTCCGAGCTGATCGATTCATTTGGAAACATTGTCTTATACGGCTCGACGTGATCTTCCCGTCACTTTTTAACACGTTTCGCCATTTTTTTTTTATTTTAGTCTACTTTTTGTTGGACTCTTTATGACTGGTCGGTCCAGCTTTGTTGTCATTCATTATCTTATGCTTTGTTCTTTATTAGCCTTGTACACGGTATTGGAACAATCACGCCTTTGCATAACTTTGAAAACGTTGCGATTGTACGGGAGAACATTTTGAAATTGAACAAGGACTGGTCTTTAATAGTCTTCGGTGCAAAATTGTTTCAAGTAAATGCTCGGTCAGGGTGATCCATTAATTGTGAAAAATGATCGAAGCCTCCGAAGGAGGAGAATGCATGAATTTTTCGTAGCCTGTCTAAGATAGAAACCTTTTTCGTGTAAATGCTGTCCTATACGAAGCTTCAAAGTATAAAATCTGTATCGAATGCTCCCGTCGACAATCGATTACACGCATCATCCTGATTAGAAATTTAAGCCACTTGCACACTTTAGTTTATTTACTTTTGTATTATACGAATCTGGGGTTCCTTGCTGGGGACGTCGGAGGACATTAGTCCGTAAAAGACTCTGTAGCTGTAGTCGAGAGAGCCAGGTTAAAGACCGTTTAGCCAGGATCGAATGAAAATGAAAGAATTAAAGACCCAGTAGGTTTGACATGGAGGTGGTGAATGGTGCATTTGCGTAGCTAACTGAAAAGTGTATTATAAATCATAGGTTAGCTTTAAGTAGCAAAAGGAGCAACGTGTATCTCTAAACTGTCGCTAAGAAATCGACACGGATGACTAGAAGCGTCCTCTGAAATCCTCATATCCGGTGAGAAAAGAGCGAGTGGCGTTTAGGTTACGTTATTATTATTCACTTCTATTCGTCTCTTCCGATACCGATCAAAATTTTCATCGACGCACTCGTCTTATCATCGCACCAATATCAGGGAAAATTCGCTGAAAATTTTGATTCAGTATGCCGACGTGGAATTCGAAAATAAAATCTTGAGGTTAAAAACTCTCGAGGAGCGGTACTCATATGTATCATCTATTAAAAAAAAAGTCATTTGAGTTAGCGAAAAAAAAAAAACAAATAGCAAGAAGATATTAATTTCGTAAAATTTAAAAATTTATTTCTTTTGACGTCTCGTCACGATCATCATTGATTCATAATAGAAAAAAAGAAAAGAAAATATCTAAACCTACTGGTTATTAAGTGTAACAGGACAATATTATGTGTATTATCAGTACTCTATTGCGAGCTATAAGAATTATAATCAGTACTTTCTGTAGGCTAATGAGATAAGTTAGCTTTTAAGAAAAAAAAAAAAAAAAAAAAAAAAAAATATAAGAAAAAAGATGTATAATTAAATTTTCAAAAACGGGTGTCACGTGAATTCATCTGTTCGGCTCACCCTTCTACCGTTCTTAACTCAGGAGTAGACCGTGTGGGGCGATTGACTGGGACGTCTGAGGCAATGCTTTTTTAAAAAAAAAAAAAAAAAAAAAAAAAATGGCGAACTAAAACTTCTATTGGCTAGTTGTGTAACGACTGCCGGGTCAGATATATAATTCTACAGTAATTGATAATAAAAAGGTAATATTCGAAAGAAGGTCACTGATAAAGGAAACCGGGAACATAAATTATGAGGATCATTGATTCAGTCTGAATTATTTGCAATCGATGGGATGAATACGCATGTGGAATAATGATAAGCAGGCACGACTAGCCATTATTACAGAGCTCTGCGAAAGGCTTCACTGTTATTTAGTTTTAATATCATACACTGTCTATGCTTGTACATGTATATTATATGAGGTACGAAATGGAACTAATATAAAGGACGAAAATGGATAGAGGGACAAGGGCGAATGAGATAAATGAAAATGAACATTAAAGAATATGCATTGCAAAGTCCGAGCGTCGCGGTGACGCGTATTTTAGGCGTAGATAACACGCGGATTCTTTAAGGCTGCGCATACGTGCCTGCGCAGTAGACTCTCTCGATTTCCTTTCCTAGATATGATTATCGTGTAGGTGGTACGATTATCTAACGATATGCTTTACTTCAATTAGCTATTTTTCCGTGAGCCAGAGAGGGAGAGAAAGATATATATATACATATATAGCAAGAGCGAATGAGAAGATTTGAGATATTAAGAACATAAACATTAATCTTGTTTCTCAGAATCGCGGGAGTCTTGGTATCGCGATTTTGATACCTTTGCGAATTTGTACAAAGTAATAAATGAAATGTACGAGGACGATGAAGTAAAATCCGTAGGGAGGCAAATTGTTTACCCTGGGAGTTTAATAAATGCATTGGGCTGATAGCTGGTGCCGGCGGCAGTTCAAACGAATGGCGGGAAATTCAAACAGTCGCATCTTGTATTCGGTGTTGTTATCTTGCTCGCCAATGTATTGTTAAGTTTGACACATTTTTTTTTATTGATCCAAAAAATTCGTAAAGAAGAAAAAAAAATGCTAAGAATGAATTTTTGCGAGAGCACAAAATTTCGTGAAGACCTCTCAACATTCCAAAGTCAATTTCGAGTGGTTTTAACGTTATCTAATATTCGATAAGAGGAATTTATGTATATCTTGAAAATATCGAAGAAGAATCAGATAGGCGTGTATGCTGTGTCTGAGCGAAAAAAATGAAACCTGGAACGAATCACATCTAATCAAATGAAGAATAAAAGTAATTGCCATACGTATAAGTCTCTCGTTACGTTGCTCCCCGAGTGCAAAGGTCGAAGTGAGCTTTGGCGACGATTGTTGAAGTGATCGAAAGGCATACTTATGTATTTATATATACATCTATAACATACCTATATTATGTTATATATGCATATATACGAAATAACTGATTATGATTATTTACTATTATTTTTTATTATATATATTATTAATATTATTATTACATTACGAATACGTTGTAATATTTACTGTGTAGCACATGAATGGCGTTTAATAGAGTATTTATTGAAATCATCCGTAGCCATTATCTTCACTCGTTCATTTATTTTATTTTTTTTTTATTTTGAGATACACCACGTCAAACTTCCCGAAAGAGAAACAACAAATCCTGCGGACACTCCTCGTTATCCAATGCCCTGACGAAACTTCCATTGGCGTGCCGGTCAAAGGTCAGGAAGAAGAGTTCGATCAGGCTTTACAGAGAAGAAGCCACCTCGTGAAAGACTTTCTAAGACGAGCAGCCTGGGCTGCTGTCATTCGCATAAATCCAGTTACCCGCGGAGATCCATTCGGACGATTTCAGTCAGGGTCAACCGGAAGTGACTCGCAGCTATGATAATGAACGATGAGTTTCTAACGCGGTTACCAAGTAAGGTTAGCGACTGATCCGGATTTCACATATCGAGATTAGCGTAAATTATAAACTTTCACCTTCGATACCGATGCGCTGGAATCGTCCCGGCAGCCGTTAGAAACCTTATGGGGCAGATGCAACGTCACTTTACACAAGATGTACTGGAAATGCAGGGCAACAAGTTTCGAGTTTTTTTAGCTGCAGATTGCAACTTGGGAAATTTTTCAAAAGGTCCACCGGAGATTCTTTACACGTATTTCCTGGCGTAATTTGACTTACGAATTCTCAGAGGTATACAGAGACACGTGTGTGCAGATGCTTCTGGCACGTAGACGTAGCAGAAATTGGAGCCGAGACCTTCGCGTTGGAGTCTGTAAATAAGGATATACAGCTGGACCATATAGTATATACACACTGTATGGTGTGTATATACATATATGCAATATGGGAAGTGCAGTATACTCAGTATAAGCGAACTCGAGGTATATTAACAAATATTTGATCTGATGTTATCGCGAAGGCAGGTCTTCAAGCGTGACATTATATTATCCCAGGGGTACCACCGTGCCATCATCCAACAGTGAAAGCATGACCCCCGCGTGACCCCATATACCTAGACAATATTACAGCTCCGCCACCCTTTTCTGTACTGTTACTCGTGTAGTGCATACAGTGCGACGTTATCTTCATCTATAGATACGGAGACTCTGGACCAGGGGCCAAATTAAAAGTAGCACTTTGGACACGTAAAATATTGCTGAGGCTGCGTCCGTGGCACAAGAGATGCAGGTTATTCAGAATACAACGGGACACGCGCGATACACGTTTGACCTTAACGCATTCGAATTACTCAGGAAGAAGATCTGCATATTCGATGATATCACTCGGATAGAAACTTCGTAATGTTTTCAAGAGACTCGAGTATTTCAATATTCCCGCTTTATCTAAGCTCGATAAGATCCTTCGCCGGATTACGACAGTCTTCTCTATGTCTATTCAGCCGTAATTTCCTGGCCATAGAAACGCGGCATATTCATCTTGCAGGGCTCGTAAAGCCGCTCGTACCTATAAACTTCAATGTTCACGTCGAAGGAGCGTAACTTCGAGCTTCGGGCCTGCTCCTTTATTATCGTCCCAGGAGCACGTAAAAGGATCCAGGCGAATTGTCTTCCTTCCGTCGCCAGTAAGAATCCTTTATCTCTCGTCTTATTTACGTCGTGCCGTGAAATCTTGGAAATTTATAGGTTATGAATTTCTTCTTCCTCGAGTATACCGGGTGTCTTTTTCTCTCTCTTAGTCAAGCCTCGGACCGATTCTACAGGGTGGTTGCGTATTAGCTAGCATCACGGGCAATCCTTTTTATCGTTGGTAGACGTACGAAGAAAGTAATGGCTCGATTACGCGTGATTCTTCTTGATACTCACGGTCCCATGGGAGTCTGTCCTATTTAATTGCTCTACTGCTTTCTTTCTTGTGAGAGAAGCCTTACGCTGCGGCTGCCTGCTACTTTTCAGATACCTTTGCTCGTGTAGCATTGTCTTGCGCGAACCTTACGAATATTAAAATGCCGGAAGGATGTGCTCTCTTGTACTCTCAGTCTCATGTCAGTGTTACGTCATTGCCGACTGGGCTAACAGCCACTCCATTGTCTCGACTAGATACGCTCCTGCCGGTTTGCCTAGACGCTCCTATGGTAATTAGTAAAGCTGAAAAATTCGAAAGTCATCATCGGGTGAGTATTTTTCTTTAATACAATTTTCTTAGTCCTGGGTCTTTTTTGGGGGCCGGAAAGGCAGGGGGGCTGGGCACAATTTTGGACGTACCTGCGTATTCACTTTCTCTGGTAGCAACGCTCGTTATTCCCCTCGGACGGTCACGTACAATCTGCGTAACGAAGCTGGTTATCCTATTAACTCGGATCGATGTGATCATGGTTAATTTTAATGTTTACATGCTTCATCTTTTTTTTTTAATATACTCATTTATTTTTTGCGGTATTTATTTTTGGTATAGTACTCTCAAACGTGGGTTTCGCCGATTGGCCTTGGGATGCTTTCCGAAGAATTTCACTTAAAAATGGAAAGTACGGATTGATTGCCCGATGCAATGATTTTTCCTGTCTTTATCCGCTCTTACGTTATTTAATGCTAGAACGGTAGGGCGGGAGAGGAAGATACAAGTGAGAGCTGTATCTTCGCCACGGTGTGTCTTCCCGCATTTAGACACGTCGTTATGCACGTGCACGCTCGAGGACTGCGAGGTTTGCCGCATGGTTCAGCGTCTGGCGCATCCAAGGGGAAATTTCTTACTTTCGTTCGGGTCTGACCTATGACCTGTAATCTTCACGTGCGATTATTGGTGCGCGGATGAGTGCGCTTTTCCGTATTTGAAAGTTTGAGATTTTTCGAAAATTAGCTGAAGGAGGATTTTGGCTTTTTGTAGATTGATATTCAAAATAATAATAATAATCCACAGACAAATTTACCTAAGCGTACGCGTAGGTAACACGATTTTCGATGGGCACGTATCGAACGTGTATCAATCACCCGATCGAACTGCTAAATCGTAACGATCGAAATCGTGCGAGCCAAATTAAGGATCTTAATTCTGCTAAGGAGAGTAGAGCCGTGGTGACCTCGACCGAGGATAAAATTAACCTTATCCTAGTAACAGCAGGCTGTACCAAGGATTCAGAATTTCGAATCTTGAGCTTCCCAAGGAATATCAGCCTCTCCGGTAACATACTGTTAGTCTGTTACGCAAGGGGAGAGCCTTTCTTTCGAGATTTTTAATTAGCACCTAATTGAGTAACGTTTCATAATAAGACTCCAAAAGAGCCGCCAGTGACGTACTCCTGCACCGTCCCTTCTGTATATACCATTGTGTCTACTTACGCGCACACAGCCTAGTCAGTCACAGCATCAATTGAATCTCTCGATGCCGTCAGGTAAATTCGGAGTAGATCGACTTTCAATTTCCAAAATGAACCAGTTTTTTTTTTACATTTGAAAAATGAAAATCCACCTTCGCTAAGCAATTAGCATATTTTGATACTGATCGATTATTGGTCTTTTTATAGTTTACAGAAAATGGCTAAAGTCACGTCTCTGGCATTTCCAAGAATCTATCGCCAGCACGTTGGTGACGTGCCCACGTCTTTTGTAGATGACTTTTTCCCACCCAGGGATTTTTCGAGTCTAAATTCAGTCGCAGCCCTATGGACCATCCTGTACCGGAATTTCTTAATTCGGACCCTGACTCGAGGATTCGCCGAAAGGAGCAAGGCCACGCGTTCACCTTAACGCACTCATTACTCGTTGCTCCATGGAAAGGTTTCTCCGCTGTTCAAATGTATAACTGACGAGACTTTTTTTTTATTTACAATAAGTGGGAGACCCGCCTATGTAATCTTTGTTTCTTGTACGTATGTACGTACTTATTGTGCATGTGGTAGACGCGTAACGAAAGGAGGATCATTGCGCTTCCGTTTGTATGCTAATATTGCGGCAGGTTGCGCAACAGCTGTTTCATTGAACCATAAAATTCAGTGAAAGGATACAAGAGGTGAAGGAAGAGATTGACAATGGCGGATACGAAGTGAATCGGGTATAAAACAGTTGTTATTCCTTTGTCAGTTAATTCGAGGTTATCCCTATTATTTTTCTAGCAGGATACGAGTTTTGGCTGCTGATTATATTCGCGCGTGAGAAGTATATCTATGGATTAGCTGCGTGCCGTATAAATCAATCCGCGCTTCGCACGTAACAAAGGCATCTGCTTCGTGTTACGGTGATTCTTCCTTCTGCTGAATTATTCGCGGACGCATTTTAATGAGTGAAAGATACGTGAAATTTCGAAATTCTAGGAGAATCGACTTTGCTGCTATTCTTCTCTGACGCTGCGCTCTGGAATGGCTTTCGGAATTAAACCGGATGTGACGTCCTCCTGGGATTCGGAAACAGATCGGAATTACGTAAGTGCTAATTTGCCATTTCTCTTAATGATATCTGGATATTGGAATCCACTTAGGAAAATTAGGTAAAAGGTACTTCGAGCAGGTCAATTATTATTCAAATAATTTCCTGCCGGACTTGCGAACCCTGTGCTGTGGATTTTATTTAAAATTTTCAGACGACGCATCCGAGCCTGAGTTATATTACTGTAATTATAGAAACAAGAAGCACACTGTGGAATCATGGCACAAGACGTAACGAATTGATGCGGATGCTGTTACTGCAAGATCGGCCTGGCTGAGGAGAAGAACCGCAAGGTATAAATTTATAATGTTTACACGTAATTGAGAATAATTGTGAAGGAGGTGAGATTGTTTGATAAAATTAACGAAGAACAGACCTGGGATATTAAATGAGGATTTAGAGAAATTTTTATCGTTCGCTTTAATCACTCTTATCTCCGATGATCGGACGTCCTTTTTTATCTGGCACGGTCTGTTTCGAACAAGGGCGCACGGTAATGTCAGACCGGCGGCGAGAGCGTTGAATATGTATTACGCGCGTTACCGACCGATGGTAATGCAGTTTCGTGAAATGCGGAAGGGTTAGACTTTTACACGCGTAAGTTTGCACTTCGAAATTGTAGGAATTTATGAAACTCGGAAATTATACCGAACAAACGTAATGGCAAGAGTACCTTAATTATATTCTCACGCTTTTATCCTATTTCGAAGACGAAAGTTAATTACGCGTTTGCTATAAGATCCGACAGGATCAGTTAATTAATCTTGGACCCTACGGACTGTACAATCCTTTCTTGGAATGCTCTCACGTCTTAGAAATATCACAGCCAGAAACAGAGAGCCGTTTGAATCAATTTTAATGAAATTTTGAAATAGCGTCGCGACGCTCATATAATTTTGGTCGCAATCGACGTCACAGCTGTTATTTAATTTCGTTAAAAATTTCTCATCTTTCACGAGCTCCTATTTGATAATACAGTAATTTGTGGTAAATTTGTAATCCTATGGTTACGTCACTCGAAGACTCTCACGTCCCTACGAATATATATATATATATTTATTTTCTGTTCAAGGTACCATAATGCGTGGGAGGTATGCCAGTGGATAACGGAAACTTGGAAACTTCTACTTCAATATGATATAGTCTATTCAGTACTTGATATATTATTGCAGTCGTCTAATATCAAAGCAATTGGTAGTTAGTACCACTTTCGGAATCAACGACCTCAACTACACCGAAGTGTGCCATTGTACTAAGAGAAGTAAAGTGTTTAATAAATTAGACGATTGTTACCTGGAACTATTCTCGATTAACTATTACATTCCAAGTATATAATTAGAGTATTGGACTCTTGCTTGGAAAAAAAAAAATAATTATTTTAGCTAAAGGAAAAAAATTTTTTTTTCCAAGGATTTATAATATGAAAAATTTATCAAGTCTCGTCCGGACAAAAGGGATATATAAATCCTTAAGAATCTCTTACTTCTTTATCCTCTTCAAGATTTTCCCAGAGACTTTCTTGACTGATCTCAAATAACAGTGAGTAAGCTGCTTGGCTTTTCTTGACTGAACGACGAAAAGTCTCTTGGAGCAGCAGCCAAATATCTATCGGTCCATGTGCTTGGGTAGAAATTTTTTATAATTTTCCTTCTACTTTCTCCCAGCGCAACGAGGAAGAGCATCCTGAATATTTTCCAGACTCGGCAGACAATACGACCGGGTGACACGACAGGAAAGAAAGACGAAGGCGAGTCCCATATTTGAGAGTTCGGTTAATAAGATTAGAAGGAGGAAGGAAGCTTCAGCGCAGCAGGGATTCGGGCGTGTCAGAGTGTCAGAGGTGAAAGCATCGGGAACCGCAAGAACCGCAACTCCCTTGGCAACAACGTGTCGTCATCGTGCGCGGCGCTGGCTAAATAATAAATCCAGGAACACAGTCTTCTTCTTAACTTCGCTACTGGCGCGACACACCCGGGAAACCGAGGAACTTCGTTGCTTCGAAACTTATCTCTCTCTCGGCCCATATTTCGCCAGCCACTCTTCTCGATCCTCTTTATTTTTCTTCTGCCCCTGCCCTCCCGCCCCTCTCCACCTCTTCTTCCTCCCCGTACTACCTATCCAAGACTTTCAACAGCTCTCGATGTTTGACTTTTAGCGAATTAAGGGAAACGCATTCTTCACTTTGTCGAGTAAGTCACGAACTGGTCGGACTTTAGTGCTTTCAAAAAGTTAACTCGCGGATTAACTTTTATTTATTAACTTTATCGCTCCGTTGTACGCGTTCGGTAGAATTAGACTTTAACTTTTGAATTTTTTTTTATCATAATACCATCTTGCAACTTTCGTTTAATTTCGTTTTATTCCTATCTTTAGTTTGGATCTTCCCGATATCAATGGATGATACCAACATCTTGTAGTTTAATGGTAAAAATTTTGCAATATCGTTAATATCTTTCATAACCGACAATGAGTCACGTCTAACCCAAGATTCATCCATCCAGCGTCTGTCCTGTCTACGAGGCTGCCGACTGTCTTGTGTCTTATTCGCGCGAAGGGAAGAATAGCGCAGGAGGAAAGTTCAAGGGACGAGAAGGACAGAGGGCCGAGGGGGTGCTAGAGGGAAATCCAAAGTATACAAGGGTATATCCCCGTCTTTCATACACGGGACAGGAGGGATCTGTGGTTGAGCTAGGTTGGCACCCCTGGTCTTCCTTCTTTCACTGTGAAGGATCATTGAAAGTGGAAGGAAAACAAAAAGTTGTCTCTCATTTAATTGTCTTGCAGTTTTAAAATGATAAAAGGATTAATTTTCTGAAATTCAATCTCCTAAGAAAAAAGTCTCATTTGCATCTTAAAAGTCCTTTTTACATTGCATCTTATAAATCAATGATTTCCACCTGGGTATTATATTTCAAGTATTTTTTCTCATATTTGAGAAAGCACAGCCGAAGACTGGCGATTTTAAATTTTTTTTAAGAACGTCAAACATCCTTCTGGAATATCTAGGCAAACATCGTAAAATGTTAAATACGATCGTTACGCAACTGTTCGGTAGGCGCATTGTGTCTAGCAAGAAGAAGTAAAGTTTCAAAGGAGATCGTTATCGGCTCGGGTCTTCTTCTGACAAAATTTCGTGTCGTTCTTGACCCCAATGCAAGTGGCAGTTCTTCTGTACGTATAATATAATAAAACGATAGGGATCTTTTCACAAGGAGTTCGCGCCGAGCGGCTGCGTCGCGTCGTGATCGCGGAATCGCAGATCGCAGCCGGAGAGCATTTGTCTTGCGGGGGGTAAAGTTTAAAGAAGGGAAACTAGGAAAGACATCGGCAGGGAATTTATGAGACTGCGATGAACTTTGATGCCAATCAGGGACATGGATAATCGTTTGCAATATCGTTGTGGAGGATTGGGACTCGGCCAAGGGACTCGGGTTGGCTGCGCAATGCATGCCGGGACCTGGAACGTTTTGTCGCTATGAGAAATCCCTTGGCGAGTCCCGATCTGGGTTTCCGATCGTCGGAACGGGGCGGATGGAAATTCTAACGGGAGAGAAAAAGAATTGCGCACCGAGTCGAAGCATAATCGATGCCTGTCATTCTTGTGACATTTGCCGGCAACGTCACGACGCTCGATCGGCCGCACAAGTTAGTTGGGATTTAACAGGATTGATCCTCGGCGGACGAACCGAGACGTTGAGAAAGTTTAAGGCACATTTCGAGGAGCCTGGCCTTTGGGAATCCCTCGTGACCCTCGAAAAGCTTAATCGACCTTACGGACAGATGAAAGTCAGGCTCGATAGTGCGGAGCTCGGGGTCTCCTCTTCTCGGCTTCCTAATTCGAGCATCAAAAGTCCGAAATTTGGTGCCCAGGGAGAACGGCGAATTTTTCAATTGAAATTGAATATCGATCCGACTGTTGCCCAACGAACTCCCACGAGCACTCGAATCCTTCGGTTTTCGGAAAATTCTCACTCCTAGGGCCTTCTTTGCTGATAAACCAATTTTTTTTTATTTCCCGTGACATTTTGGATATTTAAATCTTGTTCTGAACTGAACATTGGACGAAATACATTGTTTTAAGGATTTACTACTATGTCAAGAATGACAGGTATAATATTCTCAAAATGTACAGACGTTACAAAATTTGACAGTCCGACCACGTGTACGTATAAATATTTTAGAGTTAAATCCTCGTGCGATCATCAGGAATCCATCGAGTGCCTTGAAGTTTGTCAGTAAGTCGAGAGAGGGCGATTCACTTCGGAGAGTCTCAATGTTTTCTAGCTTGTTAACCTGAAATCTTTGATTCTCGTGGAAAAGACGTGACGAAGAAGCGTCCATGGAAACTTGGGCCATGAGGTTCGTTCGCACGGTGAACCGCAGTTCGTTGGATAAGATGAGAATGGCTGCTTCTCTTCTATTTACAATAAACGCCTCGAGGATGTTTGAATGCGATTATTCGGGCAGGAGGATCGATTCCCAGTTTCACGTGAAATCAGGATTACGAATGGGCTTGATATTTTATGAACTTTTTCACCGTCTCATGAATTTTTGGACACCTCTTTCCCTACCTCCTTCTCCTTCTCGATTTATTGCGGCGCGCGGCCATTCTTATGTACTTCAGCTTCTGGCACTTGGTCATCTTGTGCCATCGACATCCGGCTATTTTGGCGACCTTCGTCACTGCTCTTCCTGGCATGCAGCGCAGCACCTTCAGGTAGAACAGTATGAATCCATTGATATAGCGTGATTTGGATCTGCATTTCCGTCCTCTTAGGCCTCTCTTCATTTTGAGTTTAGGTTTTTTTCAATATCACGTATCACAGTTCACTAGGAATTTTTCTGTCGAGGTATAAGGGTCTCTTTTTTTTACATTTTCGTCTAACGAAACCTCGAATTCTCGACTCGTCGTTAATCGGATCCAATCGAGCATCAAACAGCCGGGAGTCGTTAACGGTTTCTATAGATACCCGCCTGCGTCTGTCCTCGTGTCATCGTGTCCTATACCTTCCATGTAAATTCTCCTTTAGAATTTTGATATTGCGTCACGTACCAAATGAAGGTTATTTTTATTTTCAGATCTTTCAAGAAATCACGACTTCTTCGTATATGGTTATCCGTGGCTCAGAGGTATCCTTTCAACGTTTTCGTACTTTCACGCAGACGTTTGTTACGAATTTTCGATGGCAAATTGTTACGACATCGTATATATCTTAACCGCGAAAATCGTTAATGACGAGTTTCGTACGGAACGATCCAGTTTATCTGCTGGAGTTCTGGTCTGGTCTCAGTGGGTCAAGTACGTTCTCCGTGTATGCATCGGCAAAAACCAGTGGGACGATTTGTTGGTTTGTGTGAGTTTATGCCAGGAGGGAAGATCGCGAAAGACGCGGTGGCGTCGCTTCGTCTAGTGGTATTGACTGGACCGAGTGGACCTCTCCGAATTATACAGACAACTGACAGGAATGAAGATACGTATGAGGGCAATTCGTTATAGCCTTCTTCCAGGTTGACCGTGTGTGCGAAACTGACAGAATTTGCTGCGGAAATAGAGATGTCCCGTTAAAACTTTATGGACGTCGATTCAAACTAGACGTGAGTTTTTAACGAGCGTTCTATTTTTTATTTATTTTTTTTTTTTAATATCTGTCAATAAATTTCAACTGTCTGTTCTAGTGCACTCGCGTGTCGTGCATTTGCAAATGACATAAATTTGTTGAAAATTCGCTCGCGACGTGAAATCCTGCTTGGAACAGCGAATCAGAGGAGATTGAACATAATGAAGTTGCTTCAGAGATTTTGCGGGCTTCAGGCTCGTATATTTCGAGCGTTAATGCGTTTTGCCGCGACTCGCTGTCTCAAGTCGTGACGACGACTACGGAATCGAGACTTCATCACGCGCGAATTACGACCGTTTAGGCGCCACTGGGAGCCATTCGTCGCGAGGGGTGGACTGGGTTTCTTACCATGATGAAAACTTTAATTGCTCCTTGTCGTTCAGTCATTGCCCTCCGGAGGAATTCCGGGCCAACCCGATTTCAGTCCTGTCCAACGAAGATACAGAATCGCTGACAGCATTGGGGATTCGCCTGTGGACGGTGAAAAAAATTATATAACTATTACGAAGTTATCACTCGAATCATCGAAGGGTTATTGTATACGGTATCGTATAGCCAGTTATTTGCTAGTCCGACTGTTTGAATAGCAGATAGACATGTGTAAGCCGCATATGTGGATATGTGCCTCAACTGGAACCAATCGTTCATTGTTCGCATGTAAATCTATTCCAGTAATTCCGGTTACTAAACTCCACTTTACCATTTACACGGAGTCAAGATTTCAGCTGGTGTCCGTGCGAGACTTTTGAGCCTGCAGCAGCAGCAGCAGTAAGGACGATCTCCTCTGGGCAGAGCCGAAATAGGCAAGAGGCCAAATAAATTCGGTGATGTTACACGTTTTGCATAAATTTCATGGATCCAGAAACCTGTGATATAATGAGCCGCAGCCGCGTTCAGACGCCGCGAAATTCATCCCACTTGTACAAAATAGAGATACCAAAACTTTGCTTTACGCTTGACGTTGCATCATTCTCTTTAATACTGCGCGATTGACTTTTGCATCTTTTAGATTTTACTTCGGGTTTCTGCGTTGTTTACATTCGTTTCGTTTAGCGACCCTTGCGGCAAACTTTCGAACTACGACAGGGGGTCAGTTCATCGCAATAATAGTAAGGGCATCTACGATCGGGACGCCATCTTGCCTCCATACTCGGAAGCTCTTAGGGAGAATTACAATGGCTTCCTCTGGTCGACTCTTTAAATCTTATTTACATCGGTGCACGTCTTTAAGTATAGTTGGAATGATTTTCGTGCTTGGTGGATTTTCTTGTGGAACGATGCTGGCCGCTATGGACGATTTCGTATGTGGGATACGTTGGCAAGGACTTAAAGGAATTACCTGGATGGTGGGAATGGCGCAATACGTTAAGGTAAGGTTATCCCGACAACGTCATTTTCTACTTTTCTATTTTTCTTAAGAATTCGAAAAAGTGCAGTAGTGACCTACTAGCTGGTTTTGCTGCCGGCATCATTCGGTTGGTAGTGTTCTGAAATACGAAGTTTCCCACTTGGGAAAACTCAACTAGTCTCCGACTGCAACGTCCGTCCATCAAGGTGCACTTTAATCGAGCAACGGCAGTCGCTAAAGAAACTTGTGAAATTGACGGCGAAAATAGATCTCGCGAGAACGTCACGACATTATTTTACGGCAACACTCGTGAAAAACTACCATTGTGTTTTGCATATGGACATCACGGCGTTCAAACCTTTCCTTCCTTCCGGTTATGCGAGTTTCGCGTGTCGCTCGCGAATAACACATATTTCAGGGACTGTTATGAAAACAGGCTGCGGCTACGTTATAGCGGCCATAGTGGCTCGAAAGTAATGTCCCTTAATTTATTTAGGAAAATTCGTGAACAAAATATTTCACTGTATAATATCTCGTATAAAGATCAGCTTCCTTGTTCATTTTTTAGGAGAATCCTTACTATTAATTCTTACCAGCTGGCATCGTCAGTTTTACTTAGGACAGATGACATACTTGCGATTCCAGGATTCGCCATGTTTTCAAGTGGCACAGTTCACTCGGATCAAATCCACCTTAGTTTTTCTTGACGAGTCAGCGATGGCATCTTAAGAGGCTGAAATGCCACTCGGCGTTGTGGAAATAGTTCACTGTCGCGCGATGGTCGGTTAATTTTTTTCCAAGGATCCCAGAATCTCTCCAATTTCTTTCTCGTCCTTTATTGTACTGCAGATTCTAAAGACTCGTCACAGAGAATTTCTCTGGATAACAAGCTTAAATTGCTGAACATTGCATTGAAAAACGTCGCGAAAAATTCCATGATATTAAGAGCCCCTTGATTATTGTCATACAAGAAAGTACAATTTGTTTTTTTTTCCCTTGTTATATGAAAATTATTAAATTCCTCTTACTCGATCCAGGAGTCGACTTTAAAACCGAATCCAATTTCGTGTAGACACAATGAGCGAAATTTCAAGTGTTCCTAGAGCTGGGGATATGGAACGTAAACGCGACGGTATTACGTGCATAAAATTTTAGGTTAGTTTACTATTCTGCTACGAAGAACCCACCTGAAATGCTACGTTATACGTACGTACATAACGTGTGGTTTATTGCTTTGCTGGACTAGGAGGAATCCAAGTTCATGCTTGGAATTTCGAGTACCGGTGATGTGGCAAGTTGTTTTCTAGTTTGAAATCCCTTTGGGGTCTGAGATCAATCATCTAGAAACTGTTGAAAAGATATTTTTAGTGAAAACTTTCATAAAGTCCTCGAAAAGCAGTATTTGATTATTTTCAGTTGAAAAGTGCTCGGAAAAATTTCGCATCGATTCGCACTGAGAATAATAATAAAAAATTTGCATAAAATGGAAAGGGTAACGTTACAATAGGGGATGATATTATTATTCTGTATATAACCTTATCAGACAGAGATGCATCTCATAATGGTCCAGACACAAAGAGCCAGCCAGTAATGCAAATGTAACCTGTGTTTAGCATTCGCGTTGGAATTGCAACGGAAAGTCCTTTCTTTGTGTTTCTCGACGATACAAGATAAATGAATCTCCGGCACGAGTCACGAGTTACAATCCCTTATCAAGGAATTAGGTAAAATTATTAGACAGTACCGATCCCACGTTTTCACTGTAATTCTCCTATCGCTCCGATCCTCCCGCTCTGCGATTCTACGCGGAGCGCAGGAAGCAACAAAAGTAACAACAAGAAGGTAAATTTCCAGACCCCACAATTCGTACTTGTCAGCCACACGTGTTTTGGGGGAACATAAATGAAAATTGAGAGTTGACGTTTTAAAACAAAGCATTGTGCCTCCGCAAAGGAATTCATTGATTTTGATCCGAAAATACGTCAGTAGAATCAGGAGCTTCGTTGAAGCAGAATGAAGAAGAGGTTCGTGTAAAAGCGAATTTTTTCGTCCGAGCGACGGTACCGCGTTTCTGGTTCCTGGAAAGTATCTCGTTCCCTATGAACTCACAGTGAGATTACTCCGTCGCATTGTAATTCGAGGGAAGAGGCTGAGACTTCAGATCAAAGGAAGAAAACTCTTTTGTAAAATACAGTGCAGAATGAACTTGGATATCTATAGGAACCTGCTATCTTTTTTCTGTTCTTTAATTTTATTATTCTTTGCCACCTCGCTCCCACTTCTCATCAAACTCCACCTACCCCTATAGGAATCTTGGGGGTGCCTCTGCGAGAGGCAAAACTCTCGCCGACCTACTGGAACGTCGAGTCTCTCGCTGAGAGATTCTCAATGCTGCGCAGTAAACCAAGAAAACCCATAACGATAAATGTCCTTCCTACTTCGCACCGGAATAACCCCCACTTTTTCTTTGAATTATTCCCTTTTTTCCCTTCCTTTTCCTCACGGTGAACTTTCAGAAAACCGGCATCGTTATTCTCACTGCTAATGAGCTCCTTGTTAGTCGCGGTGTACCAACCTCATCAGTAGATTTTCTTTCTGGCCTCCGCGACGCCACTTTGGAAAAGGAGTTCGGCACCCGGTAGCTCAGCCTCTTTATTTCGCATTCTTGCTTTTCCAGACCTTTTCCTCCGTTATCTCGCACCCGTAAGATCCTATGGAAAGGAACGTTACTGGGAAATAATATACAATCCGATCGTTCGAATGTACCCACCTACTTGGTTGGATGGATGCTGCAAGGGTATGCACTATTGAAATTTCTTTACTTTCACAGATCCCGGACAATGCGAATCGGATGCATGCATCTGACTGCGACAGACACATTCCGTCGAATGGTTCAACCGATAAGTAATCTTTCGCTAGTAAACATCTATTTTATCATTTTTCCGTGTATTTGGAATCAATAGACATGCATGTCAAAAAATTCCTATATAAATTTTACCTATACGATTTTTCTAAGGCCGAATACAGGTCGGCAATTTTTGCAGTCCGGGACCGGTTCGACAGCGTTGTTACGTCATAAGGGTAAAATTGAAAACCGGATGACAGTTAAGGTTGAGACTTGAGCAATTCGAGATTCTAACCGGTGACCCACGTGCTAGCGTAATGCACCGTAATGAGTTCTGACTGACTGACAATGAGTGACATTGCACACGCGCCAACATTTGTCGCCGCATTCTTATTCGTAAGTAACCCGAGTACTTTGCTTATAATCCGCTGCCTTTGATCCTGACTGGATTGGCAGCATCCCGTGAAGGCCATATTTAATGGACCGACCGAGTACCAACGTCGATGCGTTATACCGGGATGTATTGCGAGACCACTTAACGTCTTCTTAATGGAGGAACTTTTGTGGCTTTGATAGCCTCATAGAAAAGGGTGAAGGTCGTCACGTATTTTTAGGAAATAAAATTTTTTGCCCCCCCCCCTCCTCTTCTCAATGAATAATGCGGAATTTTGGTATTTATGATTTAATTATTGGTTTTTGTCCAATCAAGTATTTCTGTTTCAATCGGAACTCCAATTAGATTCTACCCTGCTCCCTGACGATGATTGGGTAATGATATAAAATTTTGAGTATCCTGAAGTTATATCTTTATTCATATAACGAATAATTAGCAAAATTTTATTATACGCCGACCTAACCATTATTTTCAATTTTATGAACGCGAATGATCGGTATGGTACATTTTTCCCTGAAAGAATTTCCTAGCGTATTTATCGGAATTATTGAACATTATGAATATTGTTGATTGACAAATGTAACAGTGAATTTTCCATAAACTTCAAACGTCCCTGTGAAATGTAGAAGGGATGTAGAAGGGAAGTCAAATATTTATTTAAAGAGAAATAAAAAATTAATTTCGAATACTACTTTGAAGATTAAAATCAATATCCATTAACGAGAACCAGGGACGTGGCAATGAAACTTATTGCCAGACACATTATAAGTATACTAATTTCATAATTACGGAGTGGAACTCGGAGTTGTTCCTCTTGAAGTTTTCAAGACAAAAGCATCTCGAGTTTAACTTTCAAATTTATCAATCGGATGGCCCTACGGCAATTTCATTCCTACAGACTTTTCTCTATAGGAAAACTTTACTTCTCAGCCGCGAGGATCGATCGCTGAACTTTCTTCGAGTCTAGTATTATTTTGTCACTAGAACGAATGCCCCTTAAATTCCATTCTAGGATTCACTCGAGTTTCTTCACTCTGGAATTTACGATCTCCGGCAATTTCACTAGCGGCCAATCGTGACGTTATTCAATTTGTCTAAGAACTCTTGAAGAAGCCATTTTCGAGTAACATCGGTATCGGCGATGTGACGTGCACAGTCTGTGAACTCGTGCAGGTCCAGGAGTCTGCGAGACTGACAGTGTATTTACTTATGTCGCATGTAAACTGCTATTTATGTAAGAACGTGTGAGCGCCATGCACGAAATCACTTTTACCAGTGAAGTTCGAGGCGAGTTGAGAAATGCGCTAAAACGTCGATCGTCCGAAAGATCGAAAATAAAATTTTCATAGGAACGTCAAGAAGAGTCGATAGTTTCCAACGGTAAATGGAGATGAAAGTGAGTTGAAGATGAGAATAAAGTCGGCTAGACACGACTGGTAGTAAAAGGATGCTCCGACTGCTCCGACTGCTCGGCCCCCCTACCTCATGTACATTCTAGTCGTCGGTTAATTCGAACGTGGGACAGGCACGACGTTACATACCAGATATACCATAGGAACGATTAAAAACAGTATTTACAAAAATTACAATTAGAGTCACTTTCGTTACTTTGGCCAATTTAGACCTATACGAATGGCCATTATCCACCAACAACAATGCATCCTACTGGGGAGTGGATAATACTAACATTGACAGTATAGAAATCTGATTATGATCCACGTAAATATTTAGCATTTCCCTAACACAGAATTCAATCTCTGGTACAACGCGAGACAATCCAGCTGGATTTGGCTGTTTTTGGTACATTTTTTCTTTCGCGGTAAAACGCCTAGCGGCTGAGGGTTGGGTATGGGGTTGACGCGGGGTAGGTGTGCTGTGCGCCAATCCGAACGGGGAGCAACAGAATCGGTGGTAGCAAAGTGGGGTTGGCGGTTGTTGGCTGGTGGTTCGTCGAGGACTGAGGATCGGTAGGAGGGCGGTGCGGGGAGGGGAGGGGAGGGGAGAGGCTCCTTCGCGGCATGAGGTTTCCACGCTGCTCCGACGACTCGTCAGTATCGTGCCGCGACTCCTTCACGTCGTGTCCTGCACCCTCTGGCCGGTTGCTAATGTTGCACGCGGCACCTCGCGACTCACTCGCTATTCATTCGGTCTTTGGCTAAGTGTAGACAGGCAGCAGAAGGAACTGGGTACGCTTATGAACAGTGTTGTGTATGCTGGACGGAAAGGAATCTGTGAAAAAGTGAGAGACCGTCACTTCGTTCACGCGGTACGTAGATGTCTTTTGAATTTTCTACTTTTAGCTCTAGTTCTCGTTATTCAGTCTACGTCCAAAGGGATTTGTAGCATTTATATAAGTCGACGAAACTGAGGCTCGTGGACGAACGACGGTTGGCAAAGTTTAATCTTGGGACAAAGATGTTCTGTGGGACGATAGTGGAATGGGATAACAGACTAAAGGGTGCTGGAGGGAATGTCGAGAGTGTCGACGATTCACTAGGAAGTTTCAACCTCGAGAGATTTAGTTGTTTACTCGGGAGAAATATCGACGGAGTGTCTCTCTTTTTGTTGTTGCCGTGTTTTCCTGTAACATGCAAATTTCAAGGATCCCAAGTCCGTGCGGGATGATTGTAATTTTTTTTTCTTTTTCAAAAGGGTTTTGCACGTTTTTTTATCGCTATTCACATATTGCGTACGCTCAAGCGGGGACCTCGTGACATTCATATTCTACGATATATGTCGGTTTTTTATATTCGATTCTGCCACGCTCAAAATTTCACTTAAAAATTTATCCTTCTACTTTCAGATAATTATTCATGGGATTCGCTCTGGAAAGAAATTTAATATTACGAAATAAACGGTTATTCTTCTTCCCATAGTCGAATTTTGCATTCACACGTGACAACACGGAACATTCTTTTATGTTCGAATGACAGCAAAATTACAGGGTGGTAAACGTGTAGTTGTTGTTATTCCCTCTAAATGATCAGGTATTCCTGTCAACGTCAACTGGTCCAATTACGATTTGAAACTTCTCGAACTTTATTATATCGAACAGTACCTACGCAATGACACGTAAAAACCCACAGAAGTCCTGTATCTGAATAAATGTGTATCGTGCGGATGGCGGGCGGCCAGACAAGGGGGGCGGGGAGGTGTCAAGGTTATGTCCCTTTTATGCGGCCATCGCAAGTCATAAAGGCTTCGAACGGTAACGAATAGACGTTTCTTTCTTTATCGTCTGCCATTTTATTTCCTACAGTAAAATTTCTCCTGGGTTTTTTCCCTTAATTCCATCCTCCGCAGGATCTTGACTCTTCGCATCATCATCTTCACAAGTTTCCCTTTAAAGCAATATCGCACGGCTAACGTGGGCGAGCAATAGGTATCTTATTCATTGACACTCGGTTCGAGTTAACTATCGTTAACAGCCGATAAGTTGAATGACTATTTTGAATGATGAAAGTGAAACTGTCTGCGGGATGAGCGAAGAAAGTTTTCGTGATACCAAATTCGATGAGTAATTTATATATATATATACATATATGTATATTTTGCGTAAACTAGGATTTTTAATTTTGTCAAAATCTCGAACAATTTTTCTTACCCAGTGGCCCGAGATTTTTCGAGTTTTTAGGAAATTTATGGAAAAATTCTGCAGTGATCGAGGATCGCTGAACTTATATTACGTAAATACGCTTCACGGTAGAAAAATTGTTTAACTTCAGGGAGGTCCATATCACTGGAATAAAAGAAAGCTGATACGAGAATTACTTTCCATAAGACATTTACGATGGGCTATAAGATCGAATCAAGAGGAAAATTATATTTATCGATTGACGCTTTTCTTTACCCATTTTTTTTTAGTGGACAAACGATCCACCGGGGAGTCTAGAAATTGTTGTGGGTTATACAAATTTTTAAGCGCATTCGACTTATACACTGTGAGTAAGTATAACCTACTTTTTGATCGAAAATATGTTTGCGCCTTTTGGCAAGTGTTAAATCATAAGGACTGTACTTGTCAGAGGAGGATTTTAAAGTTTTAATTAAAATACCGGAGCTTCATCATATTTGATGATGTGACCTGACAAAGTGTAATATGCTTTGATCGGAAAGTTGGTTGTATGTCGTTAATTAGGATATCGAACAATCAGGACAACAACCGACCGTCACGTTATTGCCAACGGCGAACATCCATATATATATATATATATATATATATATACTATGTGCACTGTCAGTAATTTCGTATCACGTGGGTGATTGAACTTTTAGAAAAATTTCATTTGAACAATGACCAAAGTTCTCGCAAACATATTTTAAAATCCATTCGTCCAGATACACAGGTGCATATTACAATTTCTAAAGGAAGTTTCGCGCAATCGGATTTATCTGGGATAAAATTGAATTCCGTGAAGTCATTCGATAACTTGCACAGGGTGAAATAGGGTTGACGAATTCTGGGTATGATTTGAATGCCGTCAGTGACCTCAATCTCTATCCCAGGATTTATTCATGATATTTTCAACACGTTTTTTTTTGTTTTTTCCTTTTCTATACCTGTTGATTTCACCTGACGTAATTTAACGCAGTTTTTTCATTTCATAATTAATTTCCATAAATCAATAAAAATTACGAAAGAGTTTTGTTACTCGCAACTTTAACTACTCAGCAGCACGACTCGCTTGTCAATGACCTCGACGGATTGCGCAACCTTCTACGAACTTCCATTATCTTCGGATTACCCAACCTATACCCATCTCCACGAGGTACCCGGGATTTTTGACATCGAAAAGGACCCTTCTTCTTTTCATCCCCTTCGAAACCCTCAAATTTTTATCTCGACCTTATATCGATCCCTGTTATCTCCCACGAGACCAGTTGGACGTGAAAACTTTTGAACCAGACGGTATTCACCGATAACAAAAGCACAGCCAGATCTAATACAGAACGTGTGTATACCTATATAGAGGAAGTGACTGGGCAGCGCGGCTGGTCAACTCGGGATTTATCGAAATCTTGTCTTAAACGATAACCCGCTGAAATTACCCGTGGCGAAATACATTTCCGTAGGTAAGAAAGTAATGATCCTGAAATGGCGGAGGATCTTACAGTTTTAGTTTAATGGTCTACGGGAAATTGATAGAGCGTACTCCGAGGCTCTTACTGGAAAGTTAGGTTAGGTTGGGTTAGACAGTTCACGAGTTGAAAGGTCCCAGTCGATTCGTCGGCTGCATTGCTAAATCCTCCATTAGTTCTCATCGAACGAATATGCTAATTCGATTATACAAATATACCAGGTAAATTTGACATATGAGATTCGCCATCGAGTTTTCATTCGCGCACTTCACTATTGCCATTTACGTTTTATGGGGTCGGTCAATATTGCTCTTCGGTCGAAAGGTGCAACGATATCGATACTAGTATCGCTAGTAGCGGTAATAGTATCAACGTAGTGTCTAAGCAGCTACTACTTGTACCAACCCAACTAGTTCGTTGTTATTCGTCCTTTCAGTGTCTCGTACATCGTCGCCCTGTATATCATATACTGTATATCTGTATATATATATGTGTATATTGCATGTATAAACAGAAGCGTCGGCGCGTTCCGTTTGACGTCGGGTTTCCTACAGTTGGCTTCTCTCGTTGTCAGCTCTGGAGTAGATTTGCTCTTACTACTGTCAGTCGGATTCGCCACGTGCACTGTTACTCCGCCATCGATTTTCTCCGGAATCAAGTGCTTTGCCTCTTTTTCGAGAGTTAACCTTTGTCAAGAAGGAGGAATGATTGTCAAGTGAAACGACGTTTATTGCCTCTGTTTTCTCCTCGCAAAGGACCCACGTGCCCTTGAAGTTTTTCTGACCTGTGATCGAACGTAGAATCGACGGTTTTAAATTAATTACCATTGATTGACATTCGCGTGGATCCACGTGGCGACTCCAAAGTTTACTTGTTCCAAAACTCGTGTCCATTCAGTCTCGGGGGTCGAAGAGGGTTTGAGTGGGGGAAGATTTTTTTCCAAAAATTTTTTTTTTCAAAATTTGCTTAATCTTTTTTACCGATCACTCGACATGCGCAGTGGACTATGTATGCTGTTTGATAAAATATTCGTAATTTCGTATGATTATGCTGCTGCTGCTTTATCGTGTGTTTCGTGGGAAGACTCGTTTTATCGCGTTCCTTCCGTGATATTCCTTTGTCAAATTTCGGCTTGAAATTGCATCCATATTTTCGGCGTTATTAACGGGCGGAAATAGGCGAGGCGATGAAATCTCGCCTGGACCATTGTCAACTACTGTATAAGCAGCCGGAAGCTAGCCAATTTGTTGGCGCTCTTACAAATCCTTCGGAAAGTCTTGATCACGTCGCCCGTGCAAATGCGGCTTTGTCGTCGTTCGATATTGGCACGCGTTATTCGCGTTATTCGCGTTATTCGCGAATGTCACTGCAAAGGCGAATATCGAAGCGTCGCCGTTGACTGACGGAAGTGACAAAAAAAAACGATGATTGAACAAGATCGAAGACTAGGTCGACGGCATCCTTGCTGACGTCCCGGAGAGAGATGACTCGCTTAATCGCGATGGCAAACGTTAAATTAATTTAGGGGAAAAAGAAGGCCTGGTCGAATATCGCGAAAAATATTCGAATCGTCTTTTGGCAAATTATATTTTTTATTTTTATATATATGTATACTATACGTGTTTTCAAATTTTGCTCGCAATTCCAAGGTGTGTATTTGATTTTATGCCTAGACTCGTGATGTGGTCGCTTTAATTTTTTTTTTTTCTTTTCCGAAGAAAGTCGGAGAAAATGAGATTTTATTAAATCACAGTTTTAATTGCGTCGGCACCTTCGTGCTTTACTTTACAATAGGTGGATTGAGCAATTTCATATATGGAAACAGGTATGACCCATTTTTTCGGAGCAAGCACGAAAAGAAGTCTATAGAAATCCGTATCGTATCATTTCTCATTCCGTTGACTAACAATTACGTAAATCTGTCCCACGCTCGAAGCTCACACAAGTAATTATTACTCTCGGCGCGCGGATACGGCGGGGAAACAAAACACACACCGACGCCTTATACCTTTCTTCGCGCAATACAGAGCAGACTGAACTTTTCGAATTATACCGTAAGTCAGTTAATTACGAGGGAATTTTTTTTCGGAGGATCCTCCCCCTCAATTACGTATGATCCCCTCGAAAAACTTCTGCCGGGACTTTCTCCTTTTTTTTTTTTTTTTTTTTCCCATTGCCCTTTGACCC